TTTTTGCTGAACTACTGTTGATGGAAATTCCTGGAATCAAAGTTTGTTTCTTCATGTATGCGTTCAGTTTGCAGAGTTAGTTCAGTCCCCCTGTGTTCGAACAAGTTTTTGTTGTTTGTGGCTGATTTTCTCCTTCAAAGAGGAGATGCTGGAATCAGGAGCACAGCTTGGGCTGTATGTAATAAGAATATTATTTATCATCAAAAGTCTACATCAAATGACATTTTTTTAACTTACTTGACTGCTGAGCCTGAATTTTCTCTATATATTTTTGAGTGTAAGTTGAATTTTGGGTATGCTCTCACTGCTTGGCAGCAGATACGCAGTTCTGATGGCTGTGTTTGTTTCTTTTCCTGTTCTTCCTCCCAATCTCCAGCAAATTGAAGAATTTTCTGATGTTAACGAAGGAGAGAAGGAAGTGATGAAATTATGGAATCTTCATGTTATGAAGCACGGGTATGTAACTGTGCTTAGTTTTGATACAAATAAATTATAGTATAGATTTGGTTGATCATTTTGCATTGTAATTCACTAAATACTTAAAATTCAGTTGGCTCAGTTGTTGAGGAAAGAGTCATTAAAGGATAATTTGTAATAAGCTTTTGACAGTTTAAGCTTTCAAAGAAGTTGTTCCTAGTAGTGTTTGGGCTTTGAAAAGAAAAAATACTGGACTGTGTAATAGCTGCTCTCTGCAGTTACTTTGATAAATCATGTTGTAGAATATCTTTTTGTTTTTGAAAGTGCTCTGCTTGCATAATGATGGCTTTCTTATTTGACAGGTTTATTGCTGACAATCAAATGAATCATGCCTGTATGCTGTTTGTTGAAAATTATGGACAAAAAATCATTAAGAAGAACTTGTGTCGAAACTTTATGCTCCACCTGGTCAGCATGCATGACTTTAACCTCATCAGCATCATGTCCATAGACAAAGCTGTGGCCAGGCTCCGAGAGATGCAGCAGAAGTTGGAGAAAGGAGAATCGGCGTCCCCGACGGACGAGGAATCTTCCGAGGAACAAAGTGGGACAGCAAATGGATACAGTGAAAATACCATGAGAGAGAGGATTTCAGAAGTGGAAAGCATCTCAGGTGTCACGAAACAGAGCAAGAAGCAGAAGCTCTGAAGTCAAAAGTCAGTTGTCATTCAACGGACAAGCATTGAAGTGACATTCTAGGGTGCATGAGCTCTATAAAGAATTACACACAGAAATACAGAAATTCCAAACAGGCACTGCTGGATGGAAATAAATGATTTCAACAAGGATATTGTTTAAACAGGGTTTTTATTCAGTTACTTATGCAAGTACTACATGTATATTGGTTTTGGTGATGTAATGACAATATTCTAAGAGTTTGAGCATGAAGAGCAATATAAAAATCTTTTTGTAATTTTAGTAATTAGTGTCTTAAGAACTTTCTGGAATTTACATAATTTAAGTATATGTAAAACCGTTTTTTATATTAAGATTTTTGCATCTGTATCTGGCTGTTTTTCCTGCCATGAAGTTGTGAAACATTAGGGAAAGGGGATTGGGATACAGTTTCTGCTTTTCTTATTTAGAAATCCTCCAGTTAGCTTTTTGTGAAAATAATGTCTGACTATTTACAGTTTAACCTTGATCCTTGTATTTGAAATCATTTATCAATTGATCATAAATTACAAATCAATTTTTTTTACACTAAAAATTATCAAAGTTGGCGAACTTAGCACTTCCTTTGTCTTGTGCCTGTTTGGAAAGATCTTGACTTTTCACGTTCCAGACACAGTGAAGTACCACCTTGGCTTTTTGAGGTTTAACCAGCAGTTTGGGTTTTGTGGATAATTCTGATGTATTGATCGCCCAGTGTACCATTTTAAACTTGAACATTTAGCTCCTTTATATTTTTCTTACACATTTACACAGCTACAGAGAGGGTTTGGGTGCAGCCCCTCGTGCCCGGGGCCGCCCACCCTGGGGTGCCGTGCTCAGGCCGGAGCCTCGTGTCCGTCTGCGGGCGCCGCGTCGCCAACTTCCCGCCTCAGCACAGACTGCAAGGCCAGGCCTGGTTTAGCTTTGGCTTTCGAGATGCCACTCTTGAGGGAAAAATGCACTGTAAAATTGGACCAGAAAATGTGTTGCACTTCTTATGTAAGTATTCTGTGATGTATTGTATTCAATACAGATACTAAGATGCTGACTAAACTATATTTGAGCAGTTTTGCACTGCTGTTAACACATTTTATGCATACGTTTACAGATTTTTTCCAATGGAAAGTGGTTTCACTACTGGTACAGTATCAGCACCGAAGGGTTTTATTCCAGCAAGCACTGTGGTTGAGTGACATCACCTCAATTTTTTATTATCCTTAAACTATTTCATTTTTCATATTCTTTATTTATAAAGGAACAATGCTGCTGTAAATACAGGTATTTTTTGTTTTTTATTTCATTCCATCACCATGAGATGCAGTTCCCTATTTGTTGAAGGGGTATATAAGCTTTCTAATGGTGTCTTCAGAAATTTATAAAATGTAAATACTGATTTTGATGGTCCTTAAGATGTGTTTAACTGTGAGACTATTTAACTAATGGTGTGGATGTGATTTGTCATCCAGTATTAAGTTCTTAGTCACTGATTTTGTGTACAAAATAGGAAAGAGGGAAACTGCAGCTTTTCATTACAAACTCCTTGAATTGCCAGCTCTCTTGAGTTTTAGCAAACTCTAATTATGCCTCTGGATAGTACATCATGCATTTCTCTCTGGCTTTAATTTGCTAAAGCTGTGCACATATGTAAAAAAATAGATTATTTTAGGGGAGATGTAGTTCTAGAATTATTGCTTATGTCATTTCTTAAGCAGTTATGCTCTTAATGCTTAAAAGAAGGCTAGCATTGTTTGCACAAAAAGTTGGTGATCCCCCCAAAAATAGTAATGAAATTACTTCTGTTCAGTAAACTTTGTATGTCATGTCAATTTATAATAAAAGCTGAAAAAATCCCCTTGTTTTCTATTTATAAAGATGCCTTTTCTATTTGTACCTTTGAAGATGCCATGTAAGCTGGTCAAAAAGAATTTGAACGGTACAGTAGATGTAAAAACAAAAGAAACCCCCCCCAAAAAAAGAAACAACCCCAAAACAAGTTCAGCTGTTTAAATGAACCATTGTTTTTCATTAAATGTTTTATTTGAAATCAGCTTTTGTACATGAAGTTCAGTAATACCAGTCTGCCATGATGGGTGTCCAGCCACTCCATGTGCAGACACCCCAAGCAGCACCTCTGTAAACTCTCTTCTGCATGGCTTAGTTTGGATGTGTTCTTCTTTGCCAGATTGTTAGAGTTCTATTTAAGGTATCTCCATAAATTTCCAGGGATTTAGCCAGATTATAATAACTTCCATTCTCATTTCTTGGGTAGGACTTGATTACCTGAGATGGGTTTAAGTTGTGCTTTACTGTGCAGAACTGTAATTTTTAGAAGTGCAAATGAAACATCGCTTGTGTTGTCAGTTACAGAACTAAGATTTGCATAGTTTTTACATGCAATAGTCCATTTTTCAGAAATTTTACAGAGTATTTGGCTTATATGGAGTGAAGTTTAAATAAGTGTCAGTTTAAATCCTGTTTCTCTGGGACTGCAGAGGATGGATGTTCCAGCTACTGTGGGACGAGGCAGGAGTTGGATTGCTTGGCCAAGTAGTGACTGTGGAATGGCAGACACTGGAAAGCTTTTTCCATCTTAGGATTCAGATCCTGAAATGCAGGTTGTGCCAGCTGGGCTCTGCAGCCTGGACCTCAGGCTGCTTTGGGCAGTGTGTTCTTGTCTCTAGCATTGGGTTCTCCTGATCTGGCCTTCAGTGTGCTCATGGCAGGTTTTCATGATGTTTGGTACTTGGTAATCACAACAGGTTTGTGAACCCCAACCTAATAAGATTTGAATTTTTAATTCAGTGCATTAAATACTATATTCAGAAGTGGTAGATGAATTGTTAACCTTCAGGGTACATTGCTTGGAATGTGTCTTGAATGTAACTCTTGAATTTTGAGGGGTGGGGCAAAGATTCACTGCCTGGAATGAAGCAGTTGCCCATGAGTTGAACTGTTCTGATTATTCATCTAATGAACAAAACAAAACTTCCAAACCAGAAATTTGATTTTACCTTTGGGAATACAGGAGGCATTCTGTGAGGGCAATTTTGACAGTGTTGTTCCAAGTTAAATATTTCTTAATTCACAGAAGTCTGGTGCCATCATCAGTGAGTGGAGGTGTTCCCTGCTACAAATCTGACTGTGGTTTCACATCCAAGAAAACAGGCTTTGGAGTAGGTAAGTCCTCCCCTGACTCTGACCTGCAGTTTTTAGGCTGTTCAATTTGAGAGTGAAGCTGCAGCTCTGGAGGAGAAACACTTGGCATCTTGTCATGAAGAAAGCTCATGTGAATGGAGCATTTATGAGAGCAAGCTGCCAAGTCAGCAACTTCACTTACTGGTTTCACAAGCTGTTTTTCCTTTAAAAGAGACCACAGAACTGGAACAGGCTCCAGGTAAAGCAGAACTAAGGGAATGAAGTAAAGCTGTGTGTTAGTCCAACAGGGACTTTATTTGAAGGTGATTAAATACCTCTGCTGCTGGCCAAAAACTACAGATGTGTAAGAGCTGCACCACAGAATGCACCAGTAAGAGATGGGAACAGTAAAATGGAGAGAGACAAATCAGCTGGGATGCAATGTTGAGGGAGGGTAGCTCATAGGTGCTGTAACAAATTTTACTAAAAGAAAGGAAAAATATTCTTTTAAGAGATGTCAGTTAAAATTTAGACATAAAGGTAAGTGCACAGGTGGGAAACCTGGAAATAAATTGTTCGGGACTTCTGAGGGACAGAAGATTAAATAAATAGGAAAAAAATGGAGAGAAGCTCTTAAAGATGGCTGCAATGTTCTAGAAAACATATCCTGTTAGAATGCTATGGTGCTCAGCTTTATGCCTCATTAAATAATTTTCTAGACCATACACAGTTTAGAGGGATAAAACTTTTATTTAAAAAAATTCAAATTTCTCTTGACACAAGTCTTAGTTGAGGTAAGTTAATGTACTAGCTTAGGAAAACAACTTTCAGGACTGGGTTTCATAAGCCATTAACACTCTGTTGCTTGCAGGGCTCCAAGAGCTAGAGGTGCAAATTGTAAAGGAAGTGTCAAGTTTTCCATCCAGCTGACCTCTGCTGCGGAAGAACGGAATTTACACCTTTTAGTTCAAGCCTCTTCCGCTTCTTTGCATCCTTTGTTCCTTTAGTGCTCGGGTCTCTTGCCCTGAGACTCTTCACTCCTCCTCTGTTCACAAGGTGCAGCTCCAGGAGGTGGCTCAAAGTACCTCATTGGCAATTTGGACAGCGAGGCTTGTGCCAAGTTCAAATAAAAAACAAAACCACCACACTAACACCAAAAGAACCATTGGCAAACTGCCCTTGTTCAACACACAGCTAAAGCCTGAAGGCACAAAAGCTTCTCTTGCCCTCTCCAGGGCAGCAGTAGGGGCCTCTCATGGCCCTTCACAGTCATCTTCAGCTGCTTTTATGTGTATTCTGAACAACCTGACACAGCATTACCACCTCTGGAAGTACCTGAATTCAAGGTTTAAGCTTTATTTTCTAATATGTAAGTAAATATCCTGAAGAATCTATAGTCTGACCAGCCCCTCCAAAAGCAGATGAAAAGGTACCTGACCCACTGGTACCTCAGAAGTGTGGATATTCACAATTTTACTTTCCATATGGTAGAAGTACTAAGTTACAACTAGTACCTGATACCTGAAGTGTGTAAGTAGAACTGCCAGCACTACTACATGGAGCAAGATTTAAGTCAGCTGCTGTCTGGAGTGCCTGCCCAAGCCTCTAAGCAGGACTGACACTTTCATCTACTGAACCTTTATGTAAAAGGACTGAAAACACTCTTCACAGGAGAACTGAAGTTACATTGAAAGCACAGGATATGCCAGTATTCTCTTTTCCCTAACACTGCACTGGTGAAGCTTGAAAAGCTCAGAGTACTGCAGGCCCTTTGTTGCCCACAGTGGATATCTGACCTGCAGCAGCTCAGCCTTCCTCACTTCATGTCTTCCAGCCAATTCCACCCTAACTGCCGTGTGCAGCTTGTCTGCACTCATCTAAATGCACACTTTTTTTTCTCCTGTAAATGTATAAATACCAACAGCCATTCTCTCCTTGTCTGAAATTCTTGTACCCCTGCTACAGCTGCTTGGGGAAAAATTCAGGCAGGATGGCTGATCTTTTTGTACTGACAGTGTGAGTATGGACAATGTTAATTAATTGTAAAATAAGCCTTTATGCTTTAAGCTTATTATGGTAGCATAGAGGGCTAACGTAGCACATTGCCACTGAAGGAAAGGCAGTATGATTGTCTAGGCTTTATAAAAATAGTGCTACTCTAGCATGATAAAATATATTTAATTTGAATTGAACTTGAGGTAAGAAGCCCATCAGTGAATGTTACTTTTAAATATTCCTTAAATCCAGTAGCACTGCAATCTTTTGACCAGGAATGGGCTCTCTTTTGAGACTGAGCCTATCCAGCTTAGTTGCTCCTTAGAGGAAAAATGTGTAACTTTACGTAAGTTCTAAATTCCAAGTCATTTAATTCACACTATTATTTATCCCATCCTACTCTATGGAGGAGACAGCTTAATTGCCACAATCTTTTCAATTCTCACTGCCCCAGGTTAAATCTGTGAAGGCAGGGCCTGCCTGAAGCCCACCCAAAGCCCATCTCCCTTACTCCAGGTGGAGCTCCAGCAGCAGCTGCAGTCTGTCTGCATCGAGCCATGCACCTGCCCAGTGTCCCCAGGCAGAATTTGGGATGGCCAGGAATCCTGCACATCACAACAGCACTTGTGTTGGCAGACAGTAAGAGCAGGTTGTCTCTGAGGAATCACAGCTGCCAATCCACAGGGTGAGCTCAGGTACCACATCACTGAGACTTGCTCTGACACAGGCTGTGTGTGAATTGTAACCAGCAAGATGTTCAGAGAGGCTCCATATTCCAAGTGTCAACACAGAAAACAGCTCAAGAAGTACGAAAATAAGGCACTTAAGTGAGACAGTAACAGGCTGGCTCCCTCTGAGCCCCAGGCTGGCTCAGAGCTCCCTGCTGCAGGGGATGAGCGGTACCGTGCGCGGGGGAGCGCTGGCTGGGCAGCCCCGCTGCCCACGCAGACTCCTAAGGCAGCATCGTGCACAAGGAAGCACAGCAGGACCTCGCTGCTCTAAATACTGTGCTCTGAGTGGTAGAAATACAGCTTTGGTCCATTACCACCCCTCAAACACTTACTTCACAGAGCAGCAGCTTTAAGCAAAGTTAATTCTACACAACATGCGTACCCTGAGAGGAGTACAATGAAATACTGACAAAAATCAAGTCTAGAGTTAAAAAAGGAAAGGTCTGATGGACTGCTTAAATTAATTTGCCTACACAAATGCTTGTTTCTAGCTTTGTCCGGAGTAACAAATCCAATGTTTCACAATTATTGTTTAAATGAATCCAGTACGAAGTACAATATAGTGGAGTTCAAGTACTATAAAGACAGGGGTTTGTTACCAGATTGTTGTCAAACAGCTGGAAAGTCAGCTTTTAACATTACACTTTACAGCAAGAACAAAAAATCCCTTTACTCACTGCTAAAAGACCAAAACCTTCCAGCCTGGGTATGAAAATGAACATCCAAAATACAAAGAGCCACAGCACTGATCAAGTACCCAGTCAAAGACCACTTCTCTGTTGTTAGAGCTGATGGTTACTCGAAGCTTGAAGTTTCCTCCCTCGTTGCTGCAGGGTCCCAACTGCACAACTTCCATGTCAAATGTCACAGTCGAGCCAGAAGTAACAGCAGGCAACTGGTTTGTCATCTCTTTTCCATTTACAAATACTGCCCCTGAAACAGTCAGCAGATCTAACAATATTTCTCATTTTCTGTACATGCTAACATGCAAGACCACATCTATTTTTTGCAAGCAAACAGGGAAGTAACCCTGCTACATTTCTCTTGTCACGTGGAACAGGCTGCAATAACTGTGAGCAGGAAGAGGAGATCTGTGATCTCACCAAGGATTTTTAACTGCACAAGCAGCACATACATGAAAGTTGCTCATATATAATGCAGGGATCTAAAGAGCCAGAGGCTTCCTTTTTTGGGAAGGAAAATCCTGCGTGTATCAGGAATAGTGTGGCCAGCAGGACTAGGGAGGTGATCCTTCCCCTGTACCTGGCACTGGTGAGGGCACTCCTGGAGTGCTGTGCCCAGCTCTGGCCCCTCAGTTTGGGAAGGACTTTGGGACACTCAAGCGTGTCCAGAGGAGGCAACGAGGCTGGAGAGGCGCTGGGAACATAAATGCTGTCAGGAATGGCTGAGGGAGCTGGGGGTGCTCAGCCTGGAGAAAAGGAGACTCAGGGGTGCCCTCATCACTCTACAACTCCCTGAAAGGTGGCTGTGGCCACGTAGGGTTGGTCTCTTTCCCCAGGCAGCACTGACACAGAACCAGAGGACACAGTCTGAAGCTGTGCCAAGGGAAATACAGGTTGGATATTAGGAAAAAGTTTTTTATGGAAAGGATGATAAAGTTCTGGAATGGCTGCCCGGGGAGGTGGTGCAGTCCCCATCCCCGGGTGTGTCTAACAAAGCCTGGATATGGCACTGGGGGCCAGGGTTCAGTTGAGGTGCTGGGGCTGGGTTGGACTCAATGATCTTTAAAGTCTCTTCCAAGCTGGTGACTGTGTGAACTGTGTGGCTCAGACTCACCGTTGGTGCTGATGCACACGGCCTTGTCCCGCTGCAGGGAGTCGTCGCCGTTGCGCTGCTCCACGCACACTCCCAGGCTGTCCCGGCGGTCTGGCTGCCCCACGGTCTCAATCCTAACAAGCAAAATGTTAAGTCCAAACCTGAAGCTTTAAACCAAAACATACCATGAAATCCAGACAGTCACTCCAGACCCCTGTACTGTGCTCCAGGGCTCTCAACAAATTCACCCAAACTTTTGGGGAGATCCCTGGTGAATGACAAAATTCCTACCAGCTTTCCCAAGAGCTCCACTGAGCAATACTCTATTAATCTGAACAAAATATGAAGCAAACCTTTGCTTCCTGCAAACTTCCAGTGTTATTTAATATTTACTATTTAATTCTCCACTGTCATAGCTTAGAAATTACCTTTCAAAATTATTTCCAGCTGTCTGAAGCATACAATATGCTCAGCTGGACCATCAGCTATACCACACTACTGGTCAGTATCATGTATTATGGCAAGATAGTTGTAGCTTCAGCAGGGATTTAATAAGCATGACTGAAATAGGTTTTATTGACCCTGGCATATTCTGCTGTAATGGGATGAGGATGGGGTGTTGCTCTGGGGGTGTATTTGGTTTGGGCTTTTGTAATAAATCAGCCTGGTGCAAACCAAGCAATGCCTAGAAGAGCATTTAGATGTCTGGCCTCTGCTCAGCTGTATTTAGAGTTTTAGTCTGGGGAAAGAATCTCTGAAGAAAATGCAAACAAGTTGTGCAAATGAGCAGGGACTCAGTTCCCTGTGGGCCCCAGCAGAGGAGTGAGTCTGCACAATTCGTACACTGAAGGGCTGTTCTGGACTTGAGTCCTTTCTCATGTACTGCCACCTCTCAAAGGTGCTAAATCCTACTTTACAGAGAGCCTGAGTGACTCAGGAAATTCAGATGGTCCTTTCTAAAAAGTAAAGCAGTTGTCGTTTTCATTGTAGCTCGAGAGAAAGAACAGACTGATCTGTGGTTGCTGGCAAACAAAGGAAAACTACAGCAAAACTTTCAAAAAAAAGCAATTAAATGGGACAGTGGACTGGCACACAATGGGTTAACTGTTGAGAGGCAAAGATAAAATTGGAACCATGTTTTACTTTTGCACTCCATTAGGTTTTTCAGTCCCCTGGGAATGCCACTAAGAGAGCAATAGCCTTGCACTGTAAAGCAAAGGGAAAATGACTGCTTGAATCTCCAAGAAGCTTTTTCTTTGGAAGGGATCCACCATCTTTTCCCAAAGCAACTCTAAAGGAGACTTCAAATTCCTTTTGGTGCACAACAAAAACGCTGCACAACACCACCTTGTCTCTGCCACTGCAGCCCAGACACTGCAGCTGGTGAAGCCCCAGCAGTTTCCATTTGCCTCAGGGCACAGAGAGGTCCATCCATGGGGCATCACGGGCACTGCCTCAGCTGTCAGCAGAGCTGAGCTGGGCTCCTGACAAGCTGTGACCACCACAGGGCATCTGCTGGGTGAGCCCAAATCACTGTGTGCCTGGCCATAAGGACTGTGGCTCCCCACAGCAAAGAAAGCTTTAGAGATGAAGAGCAGGTCACTGAGGAGAGATGTTCCCTTCCCTAAGGGCAGCTTCCTGGAGGCTGCAAGGCAAGGAGGAGACTGGACCTAAAGCAGTGATGTTTTCCTACAGCTTGGCCAAATGCTTCACCTCAGGACAACTGCCACAGTTTATCTTTAAAATGTAGATACAGAGCACTGTGTTTATCACAACTTCACTGCTCACTGACAAGCTGTTCCTGGGTCCTGAAAACAGGGAACACAGAGCTGCTTGAGAATAATAACTTGTGTTCCAACAGCTGCAGGAAGTCAAACACCAAGTACTACATCTCCCAGCCCAAGAAAATGTCTCACTCTTCCAAACAAGAAGCTACTCTTGGACCTTGGAAGAAGAACAAAACCAATTTTTGAGGTTGTCTTCTGTCTCAAGATTCGTGTCACGATAGTTCTTGTGGACACGTGCCTGTTTGAGCTCTGCCATCCTGAAACAATCTCCTCTTGGAGAGAAGTCCATAACCAAAATGTGAAGCAAAACATTTTCATATGCTACCAATAAAAAATGATAAAAAGCACTGGACTGAGAGAGAACCAAGGGAAACCTCAAAGTTCTGCCTTTAATTTCACAGGCACTGCTGAGCCAAGAGAAGTTAAATCTAGCAACAGATTTCAAATGAAAGCTTTAGATCTTTTTATCCATCTCAAGCAGGGCAACTGAACACATCTTCACTCAACAACCATCTAAAGTTAACATAATCCATTATCAGGAAGGGATAAATGAAACACCGTGGAATAAGTCATGAAAGTGTCATGAACAGCCCTTTTCAATTGTCAGTGGGGGCTGCCTGCTGTACAGCAAGTAGTTTTATTTAACCAGGGAAAAGATTAAACAAAGCTTCAGTCTCTGAGGTCTGTAATCACAACTGACATACCCACAAGGACATTCCTCATACCCTGTTAAACAGCATCATCTCAGGGATAGGATGACAGGCAGCAAAGCTGCCAAGGTTTTTAATCATGTTCTGTGTCAAATGGAAAGCTTGAAATTCACAAGATCCCTTCACTCTGGATCTTCTAATGCCAGTTTCAAGCAGTAGTCTGACCAGCACTAATTATCTCAAATGTTAAAGGCATTGTTGCCAGACTGTCATCCCAACAGCACATCAGTGTTTTCATGTCCAAAGTCTTCAGAGCCAGTGATTAGTCTGGGAAGGAAAGCACCCCTGACCCAAGGTTAAAAGGAACTAGAGGCAAAGCTCCACTGACTTCAGCCAGTAACAGCTGCTAGAAAACATCAGGAAGTTCAACATTCCACAGATCTGCTCAGCATGAGCTATATTTTACCATCCCTCAGGAGTTCACTTACTTTTATATAAGTGCAGGTCCTACAAAAACATCAGGTGTTTTCCTACAAAGCCAGGAAGCAGAACTAAAGGAAGGTCAGAGGTCACATAGAGGCACTACCTTGACTGGAGCTGAGCTGATTTACAACTCAAACATGCCTCGGGTTTACACACAACTCAGATGTGACACCAGCCACCCAAAAAGGACTTGCCTGAATGTTAATGTCTGCCCACAGAAATAAGTGGGAGCTTTGGAGTAGAGCACACCGCACGACTGAGAATCGTTCCGCAGTGCTATGTTTCTTCGGCTGCTCAAGCTGTAACCCTCCAGACCAGTTGTCCATTCTTCAAAGAAAACAAACAAAAAGCAAGAAAATTGTGAACCTCAACTTGGTCCTGTTTGTGCAAAATCAAGCCAGTCCCAATGTCTACTCAGTCCACCTCATGCAGCTTAAGCTATGTTAAAAACAGGGGCCGGTTTTGCCTTTTTCTTATGGAGAGATTTGTTTTTCAAATAAATTGTAATTACAAAAAGTATTTTCCAGCTCAGAGTTCACCAGGAGTTCACTCTTTGCTACAATCCCTGCCAAGTCTTATTGTAAGAAAAGGAAAGCCTTCATTACCCACTGCGCTTAGAAATTTGTAAGCGAAGAGAAAATTTAAGTTTTCCTCTCTCCAAGATAAGAGCTTGTTATGAGCTGCAGGTCATCACAAATCCTTATGTTGTGGTGAGGGAGAAGAAAAAATAATGCTTTTCTTCTGGCTCACATGCTTTCCAAGGCTAAGGAAGCAGCGAGCCACCTGCGAAAGGTTCACCGAGTGTCCCTCAGCCGAGGAAGCCAAGAATACATTGTGGGACAGAGGGACAGCTCACAACACGCCACACAGAGCCCCCAGGGGCAGGGACAGCCCGTCCCACAGCAGCAGCTCCATCCCTGGGGGCGAGGCCGGGCAGTACCGTGGGGCACCAGCGAGGTGCGGCCGATCTGGGGCACGCTCCAGGGGCTCCACTCCTGCCGCCCGTCCCCGCGCGCGCACACGCGGAACTGGTAATCCACGTGCGGGTCCAGGTGCAGCACCATGAACTCCGGCTCCGAGCCCACGTACACGTCCTCAAAGGGGCTGGCGGGGCTCTTGCGGCACTGCAGCCGGTAGTCCTGGGCCGTGAAGTCCTCGTCCACCTGCAGAAACGTTCACCGCGTCAGAAAGGAGCCTCCGGTTCCCCTCCCCTCTGCGGGGCACGCAGCGCTGCAGGAGAGCAGACTCACGAGGGACCTCGGAGCAGAAAATGTGCCTTGTGGAAAGTGACAGCACTGTCTGAACCAACAGATGTATCAGAATTATTTTATTAGTTAGAAAATATCTACAGAAGAAGAAACATTGAACAGAAGGCTGTTCATTCTAGCAGAGATATAAAAAGATCCTTCAGCCAAAAAGCTGAAAACAACTTTGCAGAAGAAATTCTGTGCCAGTTTTTAACAGCAAGGGAAAATTAGTGCTGTCCTTCATAAACTGTTCCAGGGAATGATTTCCAGTTCTTTGATATCTCTGAGTCAAAAGATATTTAGACACACCCCCTCAAAAAAACCCCTCCATTATCCCCCAGGCACAACCAAATTCAGGCAAATCCTGTACGGCACAGAAGATGAGACCCCACGTGAGAGCAGTGCCTATGGTTTAACAACCTGAGTCCACATCCTTCAGGGTGGCCAGCGATCAGTGGCTGTTGCTAGAACAACAAAGGTTTGCTTGATGCTGCCAAGGAGCAGAGAGCTGTCCAACAACAACTAAACCACATCAGACCACAGCAGTGGTTTTTGTGTGTTGAAGAGAAAGGGTACTGGAGTAGCTAATATAATAATATTTTCTTTTTCTACCCACTGCATCTCCCTAGGAACACAAATGTGTTTAGGGGTAAAAGCATAACAGAGCAGGTCCAGCCTCATCCTGGGGCTGCTAAATCAAGTGTCACTGCAGGCAGACACAAACCCCAGCACCAGCCACACACCATCACTGCGCTACCTTGTCTTTAAATGACACACTTACAAAAAAAACCTCTTCTCAAGTTCTTAACTCTGCACTGGAGTGGACTAGTCCTTGGAAGGCAGTAGACAGTTCAGCAAGAAAGTGGATTGTTTGGGTATTTTTTAGAAAAAACTCAAGTCTAAAGGAATTTCATCCAGGATATTTTACCTACCTTACACCATCTGACTAAAATACCTCCAGGCTTTTCCACAAACTCCTCCAGCTGTACAGGTGGGCGGGATGCCACAGTTCCATGTCTGAATATTTGATTTTTCAATATAGTAAGGAGGCAGTCATCCAGCTGGGCAGATAAACAAGGCACATCAACCAAGGAGGGCACTTCTGGTAAGCTGAGAAAGGAAAGTTTGCTGTAATGAGAGGGGCCAGCTTCCACAAATTCCTATTTCATCCATACACTTGAATCTGTGCAGATTTGCAAAGAGAGAACAGCTGCAGAAATTGGCACGTGCACTCCAAACTTAAAAGACTCAGCAAACATTGTGTTTCAGCCCTAAGCAGACTGTTTGTCAGCAAATACTCTGAAACACAGGCTGTTCTGCAAGCAGTGGCTTCATCCTTCACAAATAAACAGCATATATTTCCACAGGACATATGGAGGGTGAAAACCCCCTCCATTCTGTGAGTGCCAGCCCCAAAGAAAGTCTGAGTAACAAACAGGACAGCAGCACCTCAAATTAATTTTTTGAGGCAATGGAGCAGAAAGCTTTTGTTTCAAAGGAGGAAAGATCCCCTGAAAATAAGGGCACAAGTGCCACTGCCTCAAACCACCTCAGAATGTTGGTGTCTTACCTATCTAGCTGAATATGTAAAGCTTTTTTTGTAAAGTTGCAAAGTTTCTCATTCTGTTGTCCCACATCTCCATCAACTGCACTCTCTCCTGCAACCAAACAGTAAAAATATTTCTAATGAGACAACATCCACAGAAGGCATTCTTTGCTTCAAAGAATAACCAGTTCTGACATGAACAACCAATTAAATGTGAAGCACTCTCAGCACTCTCGCTAGTCTTAGCTAGAAAATGCAATTATAGGTAATAATATAAAGCCTATCTAGCAACTTTTGAAGCTCTGAAAGCTACCTCTAGACACACCCGTAACAGATGTAATAATTTGCCTCAGGTCTCAGACAGAAGTAGAACTGGGGTCAGATGACAAAAAAAACAGGATTATTAATCCCTTTCTCTACTAATTTTAAATGAAGAGAAAAGGAAAGCACATTTACTGATCAGAAAATAAAAAAGCAGGCACTTAAAAGCAAGAAATAATGTCAATCATTGTTCTATTTGCCACAATCAAAATGGTACTATTGCCACAATGAAGGAAATAATCTAATCCATGCAATAATGTGTAGAGATAAATACAAATACTTTCCTAAGCTTTCCATATAAAGTAGCATCACACACTTCATCTTACAGAGACATATGCTCCAGTCTCCTTCTGCTGACTTTAGGGTAATTTACAACTTCAGCAAGCTCAGTCCTTTTCCAAGTGGAGGATTACACACGTTACAAATCTCTGAAGGAAAGCTCACGTCATAATTGGCAGCAGGAGATTTAATAACCACAGAGGCTTAACTCCTCTGTGCCTCATCTGCAGCCTGTGCTGGTCCTGCCCACGGCCCTGGGTGATGCTGCTGCTCCCTGGGTGATGCTGCTGCTCAGAGCACCGGGGGAACGGGAACTGCAGCGAGTCAGCTTCTCATCAGATCCTACAGAATTTCACACAAAAAACTTCTACCAGCACGCTGATTCAGTAACCTGAGACTTAAAATCAAGGTGAATACCAGCTGTCCCAGAGCTCTGGTGGTAGAAAAAAACCCAGCAAATTAATCCTTAAACACGGTCACTGCTCCTGTGAGCAGGAGGCACTGAGCTCCCAGCCAGCACAAAGCTCAGGGCTGAGGAGGAATTGGGAGCTTTCCCACCCCTGGGACACAGCTCAATGTGCTTGAGCTCCCAGAACTGAGCTCATGCTGAAGGAAAGTTAAAGTTGAGACATGAGAACAATGCAAGGAAACTGCCAACACACTCATGGCTCAGACATGCTCCCAGTAGGTTCTCCAGCCTGGGGAAAACAGGCAAGAGTGACATTCCTTTCTGCCGAGGTATTTAGCATCAGCAGGGTATAGTCTGGCCCTTACAGTAATATTCCACATGTCCATTTTTGTCTGCCTTATCTCCAGACTTTTTAGAGAAATTTTCCCCATACAGTGGCCATTTGATTCCTCATGTTCCCCACCAACAGCAAACACAATCACACTCAGGGGACAATGTGTTTATTTCAGCTGCTATTTCAGCAAGACAGACATAATCTACTGCACCAAAACAGACACTTTGCTATAGTGGGACCCACAATTCAAAACAGCCCGATATATTTTTCTGTCTACCCTGGAGAGGTAAGAATGTCTCTGCAGTGAAATAATTGTCAAATAGGTCCCTCCTGCCCTCCAGGAGAGGCTACACTGACATACGTACACCCTCGGATTGGAGTGAAATGCTGAAACACAGATTTGTAGGAGATAATAATGATGAGCTCTTCACTACATCTACCCAATTCTTAACATTTAGTTTGAGCTAAGTCCAAAATGAGCCAAGCACAGTGATAGTAACGGGAATACTCCAGACCTCTGACAGACCCACAGAGGAAGGCAGAGCTCAGACTCAGCAGCAGGTCCTGCCTCACCTTCCCGGAGCAGATCATCGGCCGTGCTGACTCCGTGCTCTATCAGCTTCTGGCACTCATCCAGGGGCTTGATGCTCTCCTGCTCTATGACATCCACTTCCTGCAGCAGGGACGTCAGTCGCTCGTCCAGCAGCTTCTTCAGGGTCCCTTTCAAATCGCTAAAATGCTGCTCAAGCACATCTCTGGTCAGTGTTGCACTGTCTTTGATCTGGATTCAGGTAACAGGAAAGAAGGATTCAGGATAAAGGCAAAGGCCATGCACATCTTTTATTTTTCTGAAGCATCTCATCCACACTTACTGCAGAAAAGCTGCAAGTGGAGTCTGCTTTAAAAATTGACCACTGGCAGTTAACAAATTAATGAAGTCATTTTTAGTACATGTACAGCAGGGAGGGAGGCAAAGAAACCAGCCTGGACTAGTGGAAGAGCATATTAACTAAGCAAAACACAACTTGGGTTATGGGTGCTTCAATCAAGGAATTTTTCTTGTCAGAAAAATCCAAATGCTCTGTAGATCTCCTCCCTGCTGCCCCTCAAAAAAACCCCACTGCTGTAATCCTACTTAAAAACCACTCTGCCATCCTCTGGTAATCTTCCTTGCAAACAAAAACCTATCAGACTTTTAGAAGACTGTCTAGGAGCACTTTTCCAAGTGCTATCACTTCACTGGATTTTTAAAAACCTCACAAAACTGCTTTCTTTTAAATTTTGTTCAAACAGCTACTCTTGGTGACTGGACAGGGTGAACAGCAAGTCTGTTTTGATTCTGGAAGAACTCGACCACAGAAGGTTCTACAAGTGCTCATTAAAATGTCTGCAAACTTGCTGAATCTGGCTTTTAGGGAAGAAAACACACTTGAACGTCCCTGATCTAAAGATGCAAAAATCAGAAGTAAACATCTCCCTGTGAACAACTTTTCTAAGTCACGCACACAAGGAAATGCCGCAACATGCTGACAGCCTTACACATAATTTCTAGATCTTTAGAAGTACAGACAACCAGCACAGGAAGTTCTCTGGTTAGGTAAAATAAATTTCCTCTTCACCAAATACTCATGAAGCTCTGCAGCTGCCACACAGCTCTGTTTCCCTTTTCTTGTAAGTTCAATACTTGAGGAAAAAAAAAAAGGAAGTATTTAGCTTTGTGAAGGGGAGGGGCAAAGGAAGACAGAACACTCACTCCTCCAAGCATTTTACCTCCATTACAGGCAGATACAAATTCAGCAGCTCAGCCCCAGAATTAGATACTGCTCATCATGCAAAAGAGGAAATGCAAGTCCCTGAACACACAGAGCTCTATGAAGCTTGAGGAAAATCACATCCCATTGGTCCAAAGGATGGAACGTTGAGTGATCCAGTCCCACCACATCAGCCAACCAGTCCTCAAAAAATAAAGCTACCACTATACAAACCCCAGTCCAGCACACTCAGCACTCTGGGAACACAGGGAACTGTTGGATGTGCACAAAACAGCAAGTGGTGCTGAAGACAGAAAGAGAGAAAACAAAAACATGGAAAGAGAGACAACAGAAACGCGCACACAGCAAGGGAATTGTCCCCATGAGCAAAAGGAAAGGTGAGCTAACTACACACTCACTGCACAAAGGCACATGGGCTGCCTCTCACTGCCCTTGAACTGCCAAGCAACACTTTGAGATGACAAGGTTTTGATGAAAGACAGCTATGAACAATTCATTTTCTTAAGCAGTCTGTGGTTTCAGTGCTGCCTAATTAAATGTCCAATGATCACCCCCACGCTCTGGGAGCAAGACACGCACCCAGCAGATTCACAGCAGGTTTCTGCACTAATCCGCTGCAGAAAAACTAACAGGTCACCACGGAAACACTCCCTAAGTTTGGTTTTGTTTGGGATTTTATCGCAGAGCATCACCTCCAGCCGCACACCTGCCCACGCCGGGAGGCTGCCGGAGCAGAGGAGCCGGCCCGGCACCGCGGCTCTCCCTGCCCACAGCTGCCTATCTGCCCCGGCATCTCCCGGCGGGCTCCCAGTCCCGACGGGAGCTGTGCCCGGCTGCAGACAAACCAGCTAACCTGGAATGCTGGCAGCCCTCCTGCCTGACCCACGAGTACGTGAGCCAGGCACTGCGGAGCATGGGGACAGCCGCCCCCAGCACAGCACCCGCGCCAGGGTCCAGGCAGGTACCCGATGGGAAGATGGGCACAGCACACCCTGTTAAATCAGACTTGGCATCCCAGCTACGCTGGAAAACGAACTTCTTTAAGATATTTATTCTTGCCTGGGAAAGCTCCCTCTGGTCCCACAAAATGAAGCTCAGCTCAGTAACAGGCTTCAGCTCGCATCCCTTTCCTCCGACACGTCGCACATCTGCCATTCCCACACGCTCCCCCGGGGCACCCCCGAGGCCACCGGGGTCCCGGGGCTCTCATCACCCCCGGTGCGCGGGGCTCGCCCTCCGCCACCCGCCCCACACCTGAGCCCCATCCCGGCTCTCCCGGCGCACAGGAACCACGGACAAACACCGAGCCCCGGTACAGGAGCGGCCAGGGCCCGCCGCCCCGCAGCGGGGTCCCTCGTGCCGGCCACCGGCAGCGGGCCCGCCTGCGGGCACCGGGCAGCACAGCCCGGGCAGGGCTCCGGCCGCTCCTCCCGGGGCAGCTCCGGACAGCCCGGTCCCGTCCCGGCCCGCTTCCCTACCTGCTCCCGCGCCTGGTGCAGCCCCCGCAGCCGCTGCTGCAGCTCCCGCCGGTAGCTCCGCGCCGCCTCGATGCTCTCCCGAGCCTCCTGCAAGAGGAGCCGCACCTCGGCCTCGGCCTCGGCGGCCTCCATGGCGGGCCGCGGCGGCAGCGAGGCGGCGGCGGGGCGGGGCGGGCGGACCTCGGCCCGGAAGGGCCGCGCATCCGCGGGGCGGGGCGGGAAGCGCGGCGGGAGCGGGAGGCGGCCCCGGGGCACGGACCGGTGGGTGGTGACGTCAGCGAATCGTGACGTCGGCGAATCGTGACGTCAGCGGCGGGCAGGGCAGGCGCTAGCCGCGTGACGTCACAGCCGAGGCGCGAAAACCCGACTGACAGCGGTGAAGGCGGGAGAGGGGGCAGGAGGGGGCGTGGCCTCGGCGGAGGAGGGGTGGGGCGACCGCTCTCCTGTCCGTCCGCGTTCACGTGACCTGGACAACAGGCAGCTGTTGGGCAGCGGGCGTGGGTCACGTGGGAGAGACCCGAGGCCCCGCCCCTCGCCTTCCGCGCGGAGGATCCGAATCTGGTCCCGCGCGCGCTTTTACCGCCCGCCCGGCGCGCGCGCCCTCAGGCGGCGCCATCGGGGCCATGGCGGCGGCGCGCGCCCCCCGCCCCTGAGGCACCGCCCGGGGCCGAGGGCTCCGCGCTCCCCCCGCCCCGAGCGATCCGATCCGGGAGGGCTCCGCGCCCGCAGCAGCCGGGGCATGGTGGGCAGGGTCGCCGTGGCCGCGGCGGCCGCCTCCCCCGTCCTCCCCGGGAACGACGGCGACGTTCAGGTGGGGACGCGGGCCGGGGTCGCGCTGTGAGGGAGGAGAAAGGGTTTGCGGCTGACAGGAGCCCCCTTTGGCGTTCGCCCCCCTTTGGCGTTCGCCCCCCTTTGGCGTTCGCCCCCTTTGGCCGTTCGCCCCCCTTTGGCGTTCGCCCCCTTTGGCGCTGTGCCCTGGCACGGCCCGCCCGGTGCACCGGGAGCTGTGAGGGGCCGCCCGGCCCGGGCCGTGCTCCAGGCGCTGCTGAGGCTCGGCGCAGCCCCGCGGGCCGGGCTGTCATTAAACCCATTCGAGGGGCTTTGGGAAGAGACGTTTTCTGCTTCAGAGGGTGTGATTTCCGAGCAGTTCAGTTTCTGGTAAACCAGGAGTTATAAAAGTCTTTATGAGCCAAAGTCTTTCTTGGAGCTGTAGAAGTAAATGCTCTTTCATGGTTTGAATCATTATACAAGATGAGAATTCTCTTGTGTTCATTTTCTTTAAGTACTCCTAAAGGTACACTGTGTTCCTAAGCTATGTCAGATGTTTACGGTAGGATCAGACCTTTTTAAGTGATGTTGGAATCCCCTCTTAAATGCTCCCCAGACGCTCTAGGGAACATCTCAAGGTCGATCTGAACTGACCCAGACTTTCAGACTTCCAGTATTGTGAAATCTCTGCAGAGCTGTTCTGCAGACTTTGTGATCCTGTTCAGGTTTGACCATCTCAAGGCTTCAGAACAGGATTTTTATTTATCTGAAAGGGCAGAATCTTTATCTCAGGTTTAGATGGCCTTGGAAAACATGAAGATACAGTTGATGCGTGCCCAGTCTGAGCACATTAATGTGAATTTTTGTCTTCTGAAAAAGTTCTGTATAAGTCATCTTAAGTTTTTTAAGACTAAGATTCATGTTGTACCTTTTACAGCCATGCAAGAAGCGGCGAGAGGAAGATGCTTCTGCAAAAACAATCACAAGGTATTTTTCACCATTAGCAAAACCAGTGGAAAAAGCATTGTCATCACCAAAATCCAACAATATCTTGGATTATTTTAAAAAGACATCTGCAACTGAGAATGCTGTGTTCCCAGTAGGAGATGGAGAAAATAAAACACTGTTGGAGGCTGATGAAAAAGAGTGTAAATCATCTTTCAAGCCATCTTTAAAGCGGAAGAGAAAAGGGAAGAAAGTTAATTTAAGTAATATGCCAAAAGAAATGAAAGAATCTGAGAATAACCTTGAAATAGAAATTATTAGTGATGACAGCAGAGTAACTACAGGACTGCAACAGGACAGTAATGACTTTATTGCTTCTTGTACTCTGGTGGACAAAAAATGTGCAGAAGAATTAGCAGAAGATAACCATCAAAGAGAGAACTTCCCAAACATTATCCCCTCGAGAAAAAATGCAAAAAGCCGTGGTTGTGAAACAAATGGATCAAAAAATAGGATAAAAAAATCAAGGCAAAGGAAGCACAAAGTAAATACTGATTTGTCTGAGAGCTCTTCATCAGAAAACCAGATGAATGAAATCTATAAAGAGGAAACTGAGGAGAAGACAAATACAGTAGCAGAGTGTGATGCTGCTATTGATGATTCCAGTTTTGAGGTCCATAAGGATGATGGGACATCCCAGGTAAATAATTGTATAATAACAGTGTCATTTGAGGACTTCTTGAGAAGTCAGGGAGAAAATAATGTTGAAGACACAAAGCCAGCAATGAACACTTCTGGTACAGCAAATGAAATGGACAAAAGTGATAGTGTTAGTGACCCAGAAAAGTGTGAGGAATCCCAGCAGCTGCCACTCAGAACAGTGACTGTCCTCGCACAAGTTCATTCCATTCCCCCCAAATTACCTCCCTCAAATAAGGAGCAGAAAGGCTCTAGGAAAATAGCTTCCATTTTTTTGAAGCAGAAAGGACGTGCAGGGGAAAGAGAAAGCAGCCCAGCCCTTTTGGACAGTGAGCAAACAGAACTGGTAACTCAGAAAAGAAAATCCAATGTCGTTATTGAGGAGGAGGAATTGGAGCTGGCTGTACTGGAGACTGGAGGGGCAGATTCTCTGAGGCCAAAATGTACTCTGGAAGAAAAGCATCAGTTTATGAAAGCTTTTAGACAACCAACAGCAGATGTAACAAAAAGTGGAGTTAAAAAGGCACCCGGAAAACAAAAGCAACCTCCTGCAAAGTCCTCAAAAGAAAAAGAGGCATCTGAAGATGTTGTTCCTTCAAAGAAAGGATTAGAAAGCGTGATACCGGAAGATTATGTGGACAAATGTGCACATTCCAAACCTAAAAGCAATAGAAGTAAACCCAGAAAATCTAGCAAGGTCCAGAAAGAAGGAAACAGAAGAAAGAAGGCTTCGGAAACTAAGGAAACTGACGTCTCAAACACCAGCAATTATACTGGAGAAGAGGATTCAGGTGCTAATGTCACCATGGAAAACACCTCAGATGTAGTAATTTTATCAAGTCCAGAAGTGAATGAGTTAAGGAGGAGTTTAAGGCAGCAGAAAACCAAAACATCAACAAATGTTACACCTAAGAAGCCCAGGGCTAGAAGTGCCTGTTCTGCAGATGAATTAAGTGCCTTCCCATTAGTGACTTCCACTCCAAAAGCACACAGACAATCCTGCAAGAAAAGCAACATGTACAGAGCTGAGGTGATTACTGTGCCCTTTGATGGAAACAGCCCAATAAGGTAAACCTTTTAGAGTATATTCTACCTTTTTGCCCATTAATTGTATGCAAGTATTTTGAAAATGAGACACAAATATTAATGGACTGTATATCAAAGTTGCATGGATAATCATCATGGTGGGTAAAAATAGAGAGGAACCAAAGCTGACTATAAATGTATTTGTACTAAAGACATAAAAAACAAACAAACAAACAAAAAAAAAACAACCAAACAACAAAAAGACCTTCATCAACCAGTTGCTTCTGTTTACAGCACTGTATTTTTAAAGGCTTTTGAAAATGAGATTGAGAATAACATCTCCCTTTATTAACCAGTAATAATTTCATAATACTTTTTTTCCCTAATTAGAATGAGGTTTACACGTATCAAAGCAGCTACAAAATCAAATAAAGCTGAAGCAATGAAAAATGAAGAGTCTCACTCCAAAAACACAAAGGTAATTTATGTAACAATTAGTGTCAGTATTTTGTCATTTCCTATATGGGTATAATTGTGGTGTATTCAGTATTGTGAAATAATCTAGTGCAATACAATATGACACTTCCCAGCTGCCCTGTGGAAAGGGAATATGCTCTGATGAAACTATGATGAGATAGTTTCTTGTACCTTAGGGCTTAAAACATGTTTTATTAGTAAAAATCCACCTTTCATAACAGAAGAATTCCATAAAATAGCATCCTTCTGAGCTGCAGGTTCTCAGGATGGGATGTACATCCTGGGTTCTCAGGACATGGCACTTAGTGCTGTGGTTTATTTGACAAGCTAGTAATTGGCCAGAGGTTGGACTTGGTGATCTCAGAGGTCTTTTCCAACCTAAATGATCCAGTGACTTGTGCACAGCAGAACAGCTGAGACTTAAGAATGTTACTGCCCATTTCTGTTCCACGGAAAAACTGGGGATCTCCTTGCAGGGCTTTCACTCCCTTTTGAGAACTGTTGATATCATCTTGGTTTGCTTGTTCTTTCAATTATTTCATTTTCTTTTTGATACCAGTGAAATTTTGCAGCAATTACATATTTCTATGAAAGTAAAAATTAGATTTATATGCTTTTATAAAATTAGATTTACATGATTTTAAAGTTCTTAGTGAAGAGAGTTTTTAGTTGCTATTTCAGTTTTTTTGTTCTTTGTTCACAGATAAACTCCACTTCTAAAAACATATCTAAAGCAAAGCAGCTGATTGAAAAAGCCAAGGCTATACAGCAGAACAGATCAAAAGTGAGTGAAGACTCAGCAGCTCCTGTGAGGCGCTCGTCTCGACAGCGAGCTCTTGCTGAGAAGAAGAAATCAGAGCAAAGTGATGTAAGGCTGTACTTTGGAGGGGGGGATATTTTTATATATTTATTGATATAAGCAACACAAATGATTCCTACTTGATTCTTTACAAAGGAGGAGAAGTTGGGTTTCCTTTCTTACTTGATTTGCTTTCCCTCTAGGAGTCAGTAATAATTCTAGGTTCAGACATGGATAGTGGCACTACTACAGAGCAGAGTGTGAAGGAGAAGAAACTTCGGAGTGTAAATGATGTTTTGGGGAAGAAGTCTAAAAACTTGAAGGTTGCAAAGAACTCCAATGGTAATTGGGTTTTACTGAATGTGTTTATTTTTTGTTACAGAAACATTTTATATTATTGACTGTTGTAACTGTATTTCATAAAGCTGCCTTTGCAGTGTATTAATCTTTT